AGAGAGAGAGAGAGGGAGAAAGAGAGAGAGGAGAGGGGGGGAGCGAGAGGGTGTGCTTTCAACACATTTATTTTTCTTTTACTGAGACCGAGAGAGGAAAGGAGAGGCCAGTCTGAGTGGCATTATTAAGCTTAGTTTGAGTAAAGAGGGGCGCGTGAATACAATGACTGCTAGGAACATGCAATGCCAGAAGTAGACAAAAACAAACAGCAGAGGGCGGTTAAAAAAGCAGGACTCACCAGTGCCGCCCTTTAACGATTCTGTTTTATTTGAGAATTTGATCAACCTGATGGGAAAATAAACAGAGGTAATATCCAGCTATGTGTAATCAGAATCATCAGAAAATGATAGTTGAGATTCTTTGGCCATAAAAAATAGATCAAATGGAATAGAGACACTGCTGCTGTGTTGACTTAGACCGAGAGGGAAGAGCAAAGGAAGTCAGAGAACAACAAAACACAGATGGCCTGAACAATTTTGCGATAAACAGTTTTGAAAAATGAGATGAAAAAAACCCCCTGCTGTTTAGGAAAGCTGACAACAATCTGTTCCAGACCTTAAACTTAAAGAAATAGATGAATATTTAGCTACAAAACGCGATGCTAGAGAAGAATGAAGCGTGCCTCAGAACTGTTGCTTACGTTTCATTCGTTGAGTTTGACTATTTTGCACTATCTCTTTATAACCGTGACGCAAAAAGTGATCAGCTAATCCCTACCGATGTCTATGATGTAATTGGTAAGCCCTTGGCAGTATCACACTTGAGACGTTAATTGCCCCATGCCTCAAGCGGAGACCTATGTTAACTAGTATCTCTATTTTTCTGTCAGCAAACTGCATTTTATTTTTCCTTGTTTGATGCTGCTAGGCAGGGCAATGAAACCTGCCTCCTGAAAGACCTTAATTGTGTCGTTGAGGGTGCAAAAGAGCGACATACAATAAATCGAGCATTGATATGTCTCCAATGAAGGAATAAGCGATTCTGTGCGATCAACAGCCCTTTGTAAATAGTATTTTCTTTCGTTTCAAGTTCACGCCCACTCTTCAAGCTTCCGCACGAAGTATGTTATACTGACAAATAGTTTAGTTTTAACCGCACAGCTCTAAATAACACCAAAGCTACGGTTATCACCCCGAGACCTAATATTTGCAATACAAACAATGGGACATCATAGCAATTGCAGCAAATCTGCACTTATCACTACGTGGTATTGGACAGAAGGGCGAGCAAGGACTAGAGCCCAGCAATCGCTGTATCGATTACAACACCACCACCACCAACAACAACAACAGCAGCAAAAAACAACAATAGCAGCAACATCATCAACAACAACAACGGCAAAAGCAGCAACAACAACAGCAACAACAACAACATGATCATCATCACCATCATCATCAAAAATAGTTATGAAAAGAAGTAATAATAATTAATTATAAATAGTAATAACAATAACAATAACAATAAAATGTGCTCTGAGCTTCCTCCAATGCGGAAATGTTGTCAGCATCTCGAAAACATCAACACTTTTGTTTGTTTGTTCGTTTGGTTGGTTGGTTTGTTTTGTTGTACCTCCTGTCTCTTTTTTCCAATTCTGCGAAAGCCCAGGACGAGGTGAGTTGTTTACACCTGTTGATTGAGCTCGCATCGAGAGTTAATCTACATAGTTTGTCCTCCACTGATAGGTGGTGGCACCAGCTTTGATCTAGTTCGGTTGGATAATAATTCTCTTCCCCAGCTGGTGCCGTGTGCTACTGCCGCATATATCACTTTCCAAAAGGGAGAAAAAAAGAAAATACGCTTTTAAGTCATAGATCTAGTTGAACGAGAAAACCATGTCGTTTCCTCCACCGCTGACTTTGCGCCACTGGTTTCAACAACAACTGTTGATGATTTAGAATTTAATGAAGCTGCGCACCTTTATGGCCACGATTTTGCGATTCAACTTGAGTCGCGTAGCAGGGATAAAAGGGTCTTTTATTTATATTGTTTTGGAATAATAAATGTTCTGCTTGTAGTTATGGAGTATTCTTGAGTGGTGGAAGAGAGCCGGCAACGTACGGCACAGATGATGATTGGGTGCATAGACACGAGGGGAGAGAGAGAGAGAGAGAGAGAGAGAGAG